AAATGTGAAAGAAAGAAAAGGAAATTTTCATGGGAACATCAGAACCAGTTAGTGTTTATAACTTACCCCACTAAAAACCTATTAATTATGGGAGATTAAGAGATGCTGGACACAAAGGAAGAGTTAGATAATATAATAAATTCCTACACAGAATCAGGAAAAACAAAACAAAGCTAACAAACAAACAAAAAAATTACTACACAACAACATCACAGATCTCTGATTTTTGAAACTGGCATAAAAAAATTCATTCACTGCCTCTGTGTAAATTTTCTTTTAGCAGCTGCTGATTAATGGCATTTCCTGACATTCAGTTCTGCAGTGATTAGCAGTATTTACTTGCCGTAGACATACAGGAGAATTCCGAATGCCCTGATGCACTTTAACGCATTCCAATACTACAATCTAGAAGTTACTTTTGAAATAGAGGCCCAGGGAACATTTACCATATAAAAATGCTAATTACATCTACTTATTATAATAGCACAATTAACTTGTGCTACCAAAAGCGTTTGAAGATATCTCTGGGAACAGAAGCTAGTGGAAATGGGATAGTATTTTATTTTTGTTACTTCATAAAAGCTCTTCTGTGCATTGAGCAGAAATAAAATTGAGTGCATGGGAGAAAAACTAAACAGCACAATACCTCACGCAAAACTCCTAGATGGAAAAAATGCCAGCATAAAAGCTTTGAGTCTGTAGGAGCATTTTATATCTGCACATTATACACAGAATCTCATGCACAGCTCTGTTGCTTCTCTGAAACTGGCTCAGAATTCACCACTGATAAAGAGCTGTATTCCAGAATCTCAGTTTCCACAGTTAAAAATATTTGGAAACTGATATGATGTATCTTTGAAGTATTAGCTTCCTATACTCCCTACTAAATTTACACAAAGAACCTGCAAGAGTACACTTACAGTATACATTTCACAAGGATGAGGAGAACTAAATTGAAATTGATGTATCATATATGTAGTAATGTAATTACAATATTCATTGGTAGCATTTCATAAATACTTAGTCATGATCTGTCTCAATGCTTTTTGTTTTTTAATGAACTCTTAGCTTCCAAGGCACTAGACAACTCAAAATATTAAATGAAGTAATAATTTGTCATTTTTATGAAAAGCAATCCTCCAGTTGGAAAGTGAACAGGGCCAATATGGTAATGCACATCTGAATGTGCTCACAGCTTGAAACTAATAGCCTGAAGGAGATGAACTCAACGGTGCATTAGAACCAGAGAATATCCTAAGGTATACTTATGAGAAACAAATTTCCCCAGAAAGAGTTAGAAAAGGTTCAAGTAAGTCAAGTTACACGCTTCAATAAACAAATTCTCAATTGTAAGCATTTAAACAGCGGGAATTCAGGTGCCAGTCCAGTCTTTCTTTTTCCATTTCCTAACAGAAAAATAAAAGTAATGTTTCCCCCATTCCAGATGTTATCAAGAGAATGAATTAAGGGCTTCTGTACTTTATGGATAATTATCCATCTCCCCCATATACCAGCTCTATACATCAGATTACTGAAACACCCCAGTGCCCAGGCACTTTTTCATTTTCTCTCAGTATATTCACCTGTCTTGACCTGCTATGGCTGCATTTATGCTTAAAAGCAGTGACTGACCAATTGAATATTGTTATTTTCCTGAAATAATTTCATACTTTATAGTTATTATCTACTCAAGAAGGAGTATCATTAGAAACTTTCATTTAGAAATCCAACTCTATTTTTAAGGACCCATTAAGTTATTCTGTTTTCTGAGGCATTAAGTACTTGTAGGCCCTAGTGATGTTAAGCAGCAGAAAAATTATACTGAGACTGGTCTAGTGGAATGCTATCCAGACACCATCACCTAGGGCCCATCAACCAGATGTCCTATCTGCAACTTTTTTAGTGCCTCCACACAAATGTACACCATGTAGCAAGATGATCTTTTCTACTATTAGACTTCACAATCAAGAAATATCTGCGTGCCCCTTACCTTTGATAACCCAAATTCATTTTCCCCCTGACCTGCAAAGATGCAACAAGGCTTACTCACTTCCAGCGCGTATCAAACTGCTGAGTAGAGAGGTACAAATGGAAAAGAGGCTGACAACATACCCCAGTCAAGCCCTATTAATTATGGGAGGTTAATAGATGCTGTCCACAAAGGAATTCTATACTAAAATAACCTAGGAAAGGTGTGGAATATGCAACCACAGGACTGCATCAGGACGCTACATACAGATGGACTTATATCACATCTTCTAAAATCTCAAGATCTTAGTCTAATTGCATTGGCAGCACCTAAACTACTAACCTATTACTGAAACAGCACTTCAACTATTGTGAAGCTGATTTTGGAATTACTCAAGATAGTCTTCAAGCACTGTTTCTCAAGTAAATTACTGAACAGAGAGCAATGACGAATATGTCCAGTTCTGCAGCAACCTAACTAAAAAGGATTTCAGAAATCTGTTAAGTCCTTCTGAGAGTCAATGACACCTCTTAAAGTCAAAGCAATCCCTTGTCAGAAGACTTACAGTTGCTGATAATGTTTCTGTCTGGATCCTAGTATGCTCCAGCATTTTGTCGCTTGTTCTGAGACAGCAGTTTGTCAACTCTCGTTTTTGGTGAGGGTGTAGGAGAAGTATCTTATTAAAACAGTGACATGTATTACACCCCACGTGTGGTCCCAACAATCTAGCCACGTCTGCTTTGACACAACTGAATGTTAACAAGAACATTTAAGTTTTCTGGCAGCACACTCCCATTTCTTAGCTAACAAGGTCTAAGCAGAAGGCATGGAGGTGCAGAGACACAAACTGTCTGTGAAAATGAAGAGGATCATTTGGGTAGCACTTCCAACTCCGAAACAAAATGGCCGAGAAGGAATAGGCTTCTGAAAACAGCTGCTGGACATCTTAACAGAGGTAGATTCCTTTCATGGCTATTTCCAAAGTTTTGCATATGAATGCTCTAATTTATCCTGTTCTTTGTTTATGAGTTTTATGCTTTGCTTTGATTTATGGCAATAAGAAGAAGAAGGCAGGAGAAAAGTACTTTGCTACTAAGATGATCATTGCATTCTAGTTTTAAATCTTTTTGTTTTAATAGTTATTATAGTATTAAGGCTCTTAATGGAGCTTTCAGACATCCATAAAAATGTGTGTGCATGGAAGTACATGTTTACACCCTCTAGAATTCATAAGTATGCACTTGCGTTTAAACACCCCTGCTGTATTCAGCTAGAATTTCACATTATATTAAGCTGTTCATTTTCCTTAGACTTTCCAAAACAAATGGAAGAATTACCAAAAATTAGCATAACTTTTCTAAATATATTCCTCCCTGCAGTGATCGAAGAAATACAGACTAACAGAAGAAAAGAAAAAGTAAAGTATAAAATTAATTCTGAAGCAGCATTTCGTACTTGGGTAGTAGAAAAAGGGGAGGACTTGGGTGTTGAGAAAGAAATACTTCATGTACAGCAGCACTTTTAGTCTGAGATTCAGAGGCTAAGAACAAGGTTGCACTAAAACAATAAATACATGGATCTCTTCCTGCTACTCTCCCTAGCAAACTAACTTCCTTCAGCACACATGCACATTGATTACTTCAAGCACATAAAAAGCAAGAGGTGAATGAGAACTAGATTTCCCTAGTCATCTTCCCTTGTTGTGGGATGCCCTGAACTGACTAATAAGTTAGTTTTCTTCTCACCATTGTGTTCCACTAACAGAATGGGAACAGAGTGGAATCTGGAATAACACATCCTTAAAAATAAGTAATTAAGAAAGAATTGAGATAATTAAACCACTTTAAAATAACATTCCTAAGAAATGTTTTTTACTTGGTAACTACAGTTTTAGTACTTATTTTATATCACTCAGCTAAAGAATAAAAGAGACTTAAGCAAACACGAAAAGCAAAATTCTCCACAGTATTTTCTTTTTTTAAGATTTTTCTGCTTATTTAAAGCCAAACCTCCTAGAAGTATTAAAAACTCTCCAAATAAACAAACAAAATCCCTTAAACAACAACAACAACAACAAAGCACAAAGGGAAACTGGCAAGATTTTCTATTTTGCCCTATTTTCATGAAGGGTAAAATGTAACAAAAAGAATTCAAAAAATTGCTATTAGTAATCTGTGATCTCCAATTCATTGGATTAAAAACTTGGCATCCCTTGTACTAAAGGCCAGATATTTGTTGCAAACTCTTCATCTGTGGATAACTTAGAGATCAAAATATTTTAATTGCATAAAAGAAAAGCAATAAAGAAAATAGATGAAAAACTATTTTAGATCAATTCATGAACATTAACTTTTATCTGCAAATCTGAAGATTTACCACAAATGACACTAAAAAAACAGTTTGCATGTTTAGTCACTGCATTACAGAAAAATCCCTTTAACCTCTAATGTTTTACAAGGACATGAAGTTAAAATTGAATGGTTCTGACAATTTTAGTATCAGATCACTCATTCTATCTACTTTAAAAGGTAGAATCTATTTGGTCTTTTTCACACTAAGACAGCATAATTGTCACTGAGCTGTTGATCAGCATCTCTATACTAAAAATATTGATCCTTGTCAGCCTGAACTTTTACACTGACATACTCATATTCTATCTCTGAAAGCATATAGAAAAAGCGTTATTCAATCCAACCAATTTCTGTTCAATGTCCATGCTGATTAAGAAAAATCTGTAGTTAGAGGTCAAATTCAAACACATTGCTATCACTCACATTTGTTTCATTATTTTCTGTGTAATTTATAACATATAAATGCCTGGTGAAGTTCAGTAATCTCAAACTACTTGCTTGTAACAAAGATGTCAAGATCTGATTTTCACATTGAATTGGAGCATTCCAGTGACAGAAACGCACAACTAATGTTTTTTAACGACAGTTTTTCCTATACTATATTTTATATATACTTTCCTATATTCCTCATCAAGTTATCTTACATTAAAGTCATTACATGACTTCTCATGCAGACTTACAGTGCTGTCAATATATGCTTCTGTCCATACCACGTCATGCTCTTGGTCAATAACTTTTGGTCGGCTAAGAACGTGGAGGTATTCCATGACATTCTCTTGAACATCAGCTAAGGTGGAGATCTGAGTAAAAAACCCTGTAAAAACAGACAATTTGAAGTTATAAATCATGCAAAACGAATTAAGGATTTCAAGGAGTATGATGTGTTACATCAGTTGTGTTTTCTGCTTGTTTATTTCCAAAGGAGAAATGCAAAGAAGGAACATTTGATGAGAAGCAGCCTCAAAGAGTAATAACCAGAAGAAGTCAGTAAAACTGTTGGCCATTCTTGAAAGTCTGGGTTCCCAAGACTGCTATGAATTTCTGGACCACAAATCCCAAATTCTCTATTTCCAGAAAACTCCTGTTGCTTGATGGTAAATAAATACTACTTTTTTTTGAACCCTGTTAACCATCAAGTTTGTACAAAACCATCTCGCCTCAAGTTTGTCCAGTCTCAAGAAGCATTAATGATTAGAACTAGTCACAAAACAGTGGCTGCAGACATTCTAAAACATTTGTCCTTGTAGAATGTGACTAAACCTCTGATAACAACAGCAATGTTATTTTCAAATGGCAGGACAGTGAGAATGGAGACTCGAACAGGAATTGCTTTTTTAACCGATCACAGCTTTGTTAATCCTTTAAAACTTCACCTACAACCTGACAGCACTGAGAACAACAGAGGCCACAGCTATTCGAGCTGTCACCACTTCCTCTTCATTCCTTGCATGTCAAGTATATTTATACATCATCACCTTGGCTTTTGGAGTCCAAATCATGCAAGGGTGACAAAGGACTGACAAATTTCAAGGCTACAGTTTCACCAGGCATTACTTAAAAGCATCAATTGTCTTTCACGTACATTTCTTTACTGAAAAAGAACAACATAACATTTAGTCTTTTGATATGATCACATCTTCCATGGAGCTGCTAAATGAAACCTTCCACAGAAAACACTGCAGCTGGAAAGAACTTTTGGGTGGTGTTCATTATAGGCAGGGTAAAGACTGGCAAGATTGTAAGGGGGGGTCTCTTGTCTGAGAGCTGGAACTTTGCTTTAACACACCTGCCAGTGATCTGTGCAGTACAAAACATACATTTTACCCTACACCAGCAATAGATTCATATGCATGAATTAAGACAACATGTAGACAGCCTTTATGGCCAAATGACAATTCATAGTATTGTTTAATGTATACTTTCAATAAGTAGAAATCAATTTGATTATACTGTGAACTCAAATATTCCTAGTATAGTAGTATTGTATTAATATTCATAGCATAGTATTCACGCTGCTCCTATATTCAGTATTCATTTTAATAAAAATTCCTTCAGTCCAGTATTTTGTGAGAAGGCTGACAGCTACGTATACCATCAAGGCTTAACTGTTCTTAACTGTTGCTTCAAGACAGATGTGTATTTTTTTTTCCTAAGGTTTTCAAAGTTTTTTTCAGAATAAAATGATTGTTATAAGTTTAATACAGGAACTTGTACTTGAGAAAGCAGAATTTTATGCAAATATTGTAAAGAAATATACTTTAATTTAATAAATTTAAATTTATATACTGAGATCACATGAGTTACTGGCTTAGAACAGTTACAGGAAAAATCAGTATTCTTATTTTCTCTTTCTGATGTGCTGCCTGCTTCAATTCTGTGACTGCAACTGGGTTTCCAAGATAAAAATATGAGGTTATCCCCTCCTGTGAGTGTTAGAATATATTTAACTTTCTGGTCCTCTGCATTTTGTTATGAACATCAATACTTAATCAAAATATGATTATTTGTCAATAACTTCACAAATTTTGTATCTATAAATACATTTGTGTATTTACACACTGCAGCTTATAAACCTTTTAAACAAAGATTCCAAATACTTCCGAGCTCTTATTGTACAGGAGATAATCTACGTTTTCCCTAAGCAGTTCTGAGTGTCTGAGTTCTAGTATAACTCCAGAAAGCAGAAAAGAGAATTAATATTTGGAGGTCATTTGTTCAGCTCTGTTCACATGTCTCAAATTTCATCCTCAACAACTCATAGAAATTCAGAAAAATCAAGCAGAAGCACAGATAGACTACTAAACCTTTTGCCTTGCTTCCTGCAACTTAGCCTAGTGTGCAAAGGCTCAGCCAGGACTCAAACCACTAAAAGCAAAGAGCACACAAGACACTGCTCATTTCTTTGCGAGAGATTTGCAGCAGGAGATATCCAACTATGTTCACCTAACCCTGTTCTCATGCACCAAGCACATACTTTCAGTTGCCCCAAGGGCAAGTCTTTAATTGGCGTTAAATAACAGATTTAAGCATTGTTTTATTTCAGTGTTTTCCATGCGATTTTATATCATCACCCCAATATTCTTTCTTTCTGCTGAGCTCATGAAAATTTCATCGCATATAATGCCAATACTTCTCTCATAGCAGTCTGCAAATTTAGAGATGGAAAGATATTTGCACTGTGTGTTGTACAGTGAACAAAGGACCAACTGCTGTACTTACTGGTTTTATACCTTAACGATATTTAATATGTATTACATCTAAAATGTTAGAACAGATTAACAGTTTGAAAAAATGTCACAAGATGGTTTTAATCAAACATTACTTTCACATCCATACAGGTTGAAATCACAGTTAGCTAATACTTTTTAATGTAATGCTTCAATTAAAGTCAAAATGTTAAAGGCTCATCTAAGAAGCTCTTAGATGTCTTTGCCTGGAAAATTATTTAATCACAGAATGTAAATTACCTTTCAGATAGAAAAAAAAAGCCTTTTTGGAGAATAATCATTTACTTCAATTGCCTCCTGAGAAGATTTTATATCCATTTTTCAAGTGAAAAAATTTTCTGTTTAACACCCAAATGTTTGTGGCATACATGTCAATACATATTGCAAGACACTGATGATGGTGAATGCTGTTTTGTTTTCATTTAGATGAGACCAATATGGATCAGGTACAGCCAACCTGAGCAGATTATTCATAACTATCACGCATATGGTTGTGTACTATATTAAAAACTTCTCTTCGTACTATTTCCAAGATCACCTATTCTAGTATCTCACATAACATCTTAAATAATATTTCATAAGTCTCCAGGTAGCACGCAAAATATATTCATTTTTTGTAGTACTTGCAAACCAAATTATCCCTAAGCTGTACAGTAGAGCAAACAGTTTTTAGCCCAATTTCCTAAGACTAAAAGAGACAGTGAATAAGTCTATTGCTTATTCTGAATACATTTCAAACAAACTTAGCAGAGAAATGAAAGTCTCAAAGACAAATGAAAAGTTGCGGCTACACTTGGATTGAAAGAAGTGATTTTGAGCATTCTGTTTGGAAGGAGCCGGATGGTAAATGTGCACATGTATGCTGGCACACATGTAGTTGCAGGCTAGCTATGCAGTGCTCCTAGCCTGGTGAGCATCACAGCTAGAGAAGTCAAGGTCAGCAAGTGAACAAAAATGAGCTCACTATGGAAAAAAGAAAAATTAAAAAAAATATTTCACAGATGCATTCGCACATCAAGCTGCAAAACAAGAAAAGTTGAAAGAAAGAGTACGTTAGGTACTTTATTCCTCATAACTGGGTAGTTACAATGAACTGAACTTAAAGAAATACAAAATTGCTGCCAACGATATGTAAGAGACATGACATGATGGAGTCAAGTATATGGGTTCTCTCTAGGTTTTTTCATAATGTGATCTCGGGGGTGGGTTTCATTTACAATTCTGTTGGAAAAATTAGCTGCTTGCATTCAACATTGTCTGCTTAAACATGATCTGTGTCCTCATAAATACGGTTTGTGTGCTCTTGTATGTCACATTAGAAAAATGTACAAAGATTTCATAGTTTCCATGATTTGTTTAATGTGAACTGTTTTCTATGAATGTATGGTTCATCTATTTTTTTTTTTCTATAAAGGTTTTTCCTTAAGTTCTAGTTTCCATTATAGCAAAGCAAATAGCTATGCAAATTACTTTTCCTACATTTTTGATGTTTGTCCTTACATACATTTTTAGATTTTCTCCTGTAGGAAAAATTCTACAAAAAAAAATTACTGTAGTATAGGTAGGAACAGCAGTTGGCAATGTTCTTTTAGTTCACTTTCTCTCCATATTTAGACCTTTTGATGATTCATGTGTTTGCAGCTATGTGTGACTAATGTCAAACCTCATAAGAATTAACTTCCTCCACTGTTAAGTTAAATTCTCCTTCCTAGAGATCAGAGATACCCCATGGGTTTAAAATCTTACCCTTCCTGTAGTGAGGTTTAATCGTCACATAAAGACACGCTCTGAAGTTCTGAGCAGAGTTGCTCAGGCCGTGTAACCAATGGCAGCGAACTTGTGCTTAACATTTTGCATTCTAACACATGCTTCTCCTCTCCCTGGTGTGTGAACTACGCCACCCCAGAGCTCCTTACACTTACTGCTACTTTCTTCTCCTCAGCAGGGAAAAAATTGTGAAAGAAACGGATAGGATTTGGTAATGACAAGCATGAGATATGAATAATCATATGGTTAAACAGACACTTATGCTATGCCTTTGCATAATTACACAGTGCGTTGCAATGTTTCTGGATAGCTTGTTTTTCTCTAAATTGTCCAACATCAGACTTGGAACTTTTAAAAATGCCCCCAAATACACTTTTAAATAGAGTGTGACGTTTTTCATTTTCTGGACACATGTAAAGTAGGTGCACTATTATTGCAACTAATAAAATACCCAGAATTAAAAAATTCCTCTTCGGGTAGGGGCTAAGGAGGGAATTCATTGTTTCACCGCAGCTGTAAAGCTCACACAGAGAATGCATCCCCTCCTCCTAGGAGGCCTCTCAAGCAGGTGAACAGCCTGTAACTGGCTGCCTGCCACTCCCCACAATAGCCCACAGTGCGGGAGGTGCTGGGGTCATGCTATTAATGGGAATGGATGTGACTAAGGCTTCCTGTGCACAAGGCTTCCCTGCTAATACAATAGACTATAAACTGCTCCAGCTGGGGCACAGTTTGCCTCAGGGCTAATCTGTCCTCTGCTGGCACTTAGATAGCTGCTATCAGACCTCTGATATGCAAAGCATTTGCTCTTCACTGCTTTCCCAGCTTCTGCTCCTTTGTACTGATGAATCCCCCTCTTTGTCCATTTTCCAATATGCTAAACACAGTGATCCTGGCTAATTAATAAGCATTCAAAACTGGGGCTGTCAAATTGCTAACACAGTATTTTGCTGAAAAAAAACCAATAAGTTTACTACTGTCTGCTTTGATAGTCAGTAACACATTAACTCCCATCTTTATTTTACAGCATTCTGTTGGAAGTGACTGCTGAGGAAAAGGCAGTGCCTGCTTATTTTAAAATCTGGAACATGCATACTGAGCATTAGGAAACTTTTACCTTCATGCAACTGAGGATGTTAGTAAATCTTAATTCTTTTCCTTCACGTGCACTGTCTTATGGTACAGATGAGTAAATCATTGCAAATTTCACAAACCGCTCTAGAGGGACAGGACACTGGGGTTCTTGAATGTTTTAATGCATTTAAAATGGTTTGGTGTTTTGCTTCATTAAGCCAACTCCCTCTAGATATGCCCTACTTATACACAAAAATGAAACAGAAAATGAAGCCGGGGGGAGGGTGTCGTTCAAGGATTCATTGTTGGAATCTGGAAGCTAAATATGTTTTGCAAGGTGGTATGAATTTCCCCTGTGATCCGTTTAGATGGAAAGGACTGCTGTCCACAGTCTAGTCAGCTGGAATCCCACCAAACACCCTTCCTCTGTGTTGCGATTCCAAGGCGAAAATCACTGCTAGGAAAATTGATTTTAGAGCCATTGACCCTCAGTGACAACAACATACTTTGGCCCACCCAGGAAAGCAGTAAACTGCAGTCCAGCCATTCAGGCAATCTTTAGACCGGCTTTCCTATACTGCTCATCTGTCTGTGCTGTAATCCTTCCTCTCACTGAAAGAAAATGAGTGAGCTGTAGCTGAAAACCGTAACGGAAAAACTCTAAATCCATACTGCCTGACATGATGACTGATGCTGCTTCCAGTTATGATTTTCAAAGTTATAAAAAACTATTTATTTTCTAATTAGAGGTAAAAGATTTTTTTGTATTGTAAGCTACCAGAAAGCAGATACTGTATCTACTCAGTAGAGTGTAAAAGAAAAAGTATAGAAGAAGCAGTAATTTAACTGTTTAGTTGATTCATATGAGTAAGATTCTGACTCAAAGCAATGTGGCTCTGAAAAGAACAAAGCAGTCCTGAAAAATGACAAAGGTGACCCCTCAGAGAATAAAGATGATCTAGTGAGGCAGTCTGTACTGCCTGGTCCTTTTTTCTGAGTTGCTATACTTAGATCTTTATGAATCTGAAGAGCAGGACTAAAATATTTTGTTGATTAAATTGTCTTCAAAAAGATGCTTCAAAGGATTCTTATACTATTACTTAAACTAAATTATGGTGTAATATTAGCTGATTAAGACAAGACTTCAAACTAAGTAATTTCCATCAGCTGGACATAACAGTAGTTAAAGAAATAATGACTAAATGGATAGCACCTGATGCAATTCATCATAATATAACATGGCACAAAGGAAAAAAGAACTTTTTCCAAGAGAAAAGGAAAACCTGAAGACTAATTAATTTTGCTTTCCTTTTTTTTTTTTTTTTTTCTGAATTATTCTTACATTAGTCAGTCCTTTTACTGCAGCATCTCAGCATCTTATTTGTTTTAATGCTCTTTCCGTACAGAATAAATCTGTTTTTTCAATTACGCTGTCAGTTCCTTGAGGAGGATGTCTGGTGTTTTACATACCATGACTGACTCAACAGTGCTCACACACACAACATTCTTAGACGACAAACTAACTATGAGTGAGTAATAACAGCAATAATGGGACAAATGCTTTGAATCTAAGCTTTGTTCTCTGAACTAAATTTTAAGAATAGACAGTTAAGACGCTTCAGAAATTTTAATTTGCATGTTACAGATAAATAAGCTTTTTCCTTGAAAAAAATAAACACCCTTTTTGACTAGACATCACTGGCACAATATCTGTATGCAGATACAACCATGTATGCAGACAGAATCAGTAATATAGCTTTTAAAGCTATGCTTTTACAGTAGAAAGTTAACTAACCTTTGTTAGCACAGGCCATCCACTTCAAGTTATCGGCAAAAGCAGCTTCTCTTCCAATCAGATAGGTAAAGATACGAACCTGAAAGTACAATGAAGAGATCAAGTCAATTAAGACTGCAGTCATTTAAAACTTACACAGTAGAATTTCAGATACAGATATGCAATTTGTATGGATAGAGTTTTTTAAGAAAGTTCTACAGCCAGTAATGACTTCATGACAAAATATGGCTTTTGCTCAATGCAACATAAAGACTTGTCTTTTTGGGTGTTTGTAATATCTAATATTTAATAAAGTTAAGATTAAATGTCTGAAGAACAAATGAGAGTGAACTACAAGCATCAGAGTACAGTACAAAATTATTTGTTTGAGGCATATCTGTTTTGCATTGATGAATTCAGAAAATTGCTTTGGTGTGGAGGAAGAGGCACATAACTAGTAAATAATTCTATAAATGAAGGATCTGAAACACCAATCAAGAAAATTCCCCTCAGTTTTCATAGTTCATATGCTATTATATCTTTGTCAGCTTAGGTGTAAGTAGCCATGGGTAGCAATGGTGCTACCAAGAGATGAACTAAAAATTTTTGCCCTAAAGTTGTGCAGCTCCAAACAGAAACATCTGTACAAAGAACCACGCAGTTGGGCTACATTCATGTGTGTGAGAAGATAAATTCAGAAACTTGAATGCATATTGTGGGTAGATCCTGTCACTCTCATAACACAGAGCATCCTTTTATGTCAAATAATCCTTTCTGTAAAATCAAGAGCTTGTAGTATAAAAAGGTGGATCTTCATATCTTTTAAGTCATAATTGTTATCAAATTTACAAACATACAATTATTATCAAATTATCAACTTTGGACATGTTTGTTTACAGTGAAATATCTCTGCCCCTCAAATCATGATTGGCAGCTATCCTTGCTTCTGAAAGCAGTTTTTTTCCAAAACAGCAGTCAAATACAGACACTTCAGTAAAGCTATTATAAAACAGTGCAAAAATGCATCCAAAATATTTGCCTGATACTACTTTTCTCCTCAGGTGGATATGAGTAAAGGAGCCCTCCCAATCAAGCAGATCAACCACAAATTTATCACACTGCCTGTAGTGCAAGCATCTGTCTTATGTGTGAACACCACCTCTATACTATTTGCTTTTAACAGGACAGGATGAATTACAACAGCCTGTGCTGAGAAGCCTGCACCTCCCTCAAGGCTCTACAGAGGTTGGCACTGAGCTAGAAAGGTGAGTCAGCCCTGAGGTCAAAACAGTCACAGCCCGCAAAGCATCCCTCCAGAAACATGTACGGGATAGACATTTAAGAACTAAACCTCTGCAACTCCTATCAGTCTTCTTAGACTGAATAAACTGGAATAGAGAATTTTTCTTTTTAAGATAAAATAGTTATTTAAAGTTGCTATTTAAAAAAATGAAACTATAAGAACATTCCTATTCTTATGTCATCTGAATTGTTATCTTTTTTTGTACTTCGATATATTTCTGACTTACCTATGCACTCACACAAACAACATCAGCACAAGCAGGATGTGGTGTAGTGACTAGTAATTGTTGCTAAAAATACATGCTCTTTATTTCTGATACATAATTTTCACTAACAAAACAACGATAGCAAACTATATGCTGGCTTTTGCAATGTGATACTCTCCACACAGCTAATGAAATATGCTGGCTGAAGTAACAAAATCCAAGATTAATGTCAAGGATTTGTCCTTTGGTTTAGATACATGCTCAGACGTAGAATTTTACATCTGAAGGATTTTTATTTTTGCTTGTTTTAAAGGAGTATCATGTTATTTTCAGTGTTAGTCTCTTGTTCTGTTATTTCTAGCACATACTTGTTTCTTCTCAAAGTGTCACAGATGTCAAGCTTGTCCAAAATAAACATAGCAAGCTATTTGGAAGGTAGTAGTCTTGAGTTCCTTTCTTTTTTTTTTTAATTTCTATTTTTTGCATTATTACTCTCAGTGCTGTATCTGACATACTGCTGTTTGAAGAACTCTGTTCTGCTCTTTCCGGGCAATGGGTCTGATCTGAAAGATTATCACTGATTCATCTTTAACTTCTACGAGTGTGCAGCTATAACTTCATATGACCTATATAACACACAGCAAAAGAGAAAATTTCTTCCAGGACGCACATGAAAAATTATACACAAGAAATATCAGATTTCACATATAAGACCTAAATCTTTGAAGATTTGTATGATATTATATCTTTCCCTGTTTTTACTGATACTCTCCCTTATGCTATTCTGTACCAATATAAAAATTCTCACAGGCTGAAAAAGAGTAAAGTTAGTACACTGCAGGTTGTCCCCTTGCAGTCTTCAATCTGGCCTGCACATTTCAGAGTAAATTAGATTTATATAATTAAGGCCATGACATCCAAAATATTATCAGTGTCAGAATAGATACTGGAAGAAATGAGAGGAAAAGATTTTAAAAAATTGAGGTTATTTTGCTCTGCCCAACTCTTGCACTTAATTATGAGAGAAATAAACAGATCTTTCAGTTTACAGGATGACTTCTGAGGAGGAAATCACTCTTCTGGTTGGTCAGTTTCAGTTACGTGCCCTGTTGCAAAATGCAAAAACAGTTTTCACATTCTAGTTGTGAAAAAAGCATCACTGTGTGCAAAGGCTTTTAAATACCAAAGATATTTTTAGTAATAGCTTTATGTGAGAGCAACAATTGTCTCATCTTTATGGATAAGTGCTTTCACACACACACAACTGCGTGCACACTTCTCATCTGAAAGGGGCAGTAGCAGACAGTATGTATAACATCAGAATAATATCCTTCTAGAGTTACTCGTTACAAGAATAAGCTGTTCACAAATCGCCTGAAAGTAGGAAGAAAGTTATCTACTTATTAGCAAAAAATACTATGTTAAAGAAAAATTGAAGTCATCCCAAAGACCGTGGAGCAGAAAACACACACCACAAGGTCATGGGGCATATCACCCTTCTATGGCAGCTCAACTTGCTCTAGTTATGTGCTGACAGGAACTTCCTGAGGTCCAACAAAAGTATATGAAAATGTCCTGCATCTGGTGTAGAAAAGCCCCATGCATTAGCACAGGTAAGAGGAGCTGGATAGGAAGCAGCTCTGCAGAAGGTGAAGTACTGGGGAATAACAAGTGGGCCCGAGTCAAAGGATGCCAACTACAAACTGGGCTGTATTAGCAAGGTGTAAACAAGCATCATTATTCCTCTCCATTTCACTCCAAGACCATATCTGGAGTACCAACCCTGAGTTTTCAGCTCACTTACTGACATAATGAAGAAGCCAGTCTCTTCTTGAATGTAGACTATAAGAGGACAAGAAGACAAGAGGAAAAACTCAGAACAATGGCAATTCTAATTAGCTGTAAGGAAAACCCTTTTTATCATGAGGGCAATGAAATATAAAAACCATTGCCCAGAGAAGCTGCAGAACCTGCATCCTGAGAGACACTCTTGAACAGCCTGATTTATCATGCCTAAAGATAATATAGAGATAATATTTTGACAACAAACTCTTATCTAGTCTTTAAAAGGTAAAACGTACATAAATTTCAACCATGATTTACATAATTTAAAAATATATACACTAATTGTGCCATATTATTAATTAGTTCAAATCAAATAATATGCATAATTCCATGAAGAGTCTAAAGAATGCACGCTTTACTGATAGCTATAAAAACCATTAATTAAAAAATGTACATATCTTTATTCTCTAACACAAGTGAAAGGGCACAGTATGATTTATACTCTGAAAATATAGCATGAATCACTGTCACAGTTTATCTTTCTGAAAACAATGCAAGAATACAGCCTACGATGAGACTGAATACATCTGGGAGATTTATATCTAACCATCTTCTTTAATCTAAACAGAATCAAACTACACTGTGTTCCTAATAGAAGGAGACCAGCTTTATCTGAAAGAATGAGCAATAAGCATGATTATAAGCCCAGGCAGCAACAAAATTGCATTAAGCCTACAAATAAAATTTCAGCACATAGGTATCATAGATCATCATGAAGAGTGGACGACTTCTGCGATACTATTTCAAGAATTTTAGTGATTTTTCTGAGTGCATTTTAAATATGTACTTTATTCACTTTATATCTACTGTTTCTCTACAAGGTATCTTAAGCATCATCAAAAATACTGCTATTTGGTTGGTATTAGCAGTAAAAATAAAAGCTACGAAGTAGTCAGCTAGCACTGAAGATAAATTCATTAAATGCTGTTATCCTTCACTGTCTATAATGAATGTCTATCTTCACTGTGTATAATGAATGTCTATCTTCACTGTGTATAATGAATTGTATATTAATCTCTGCACTTCTCACTGCATACATCATAAAAATGATGTTTATTAGCTTTATCATAAGGTACAAAATATTTTATAAAAAGAAATCTAAGGTGAGCAATATTTGTAAAATACCATCTCTCTACTGTTCATTACTTAATAGAATGCCTTATTCACAGCGGCTTGATAAGAAAATAACCACGTAAAGTAGAAAGGTATTTTAGTTAATTAAAGAAAACAACAAAAACAAAAAAAAACGCTGAGACACTGAAGATTTATTTGTTTGTCACTAATTTTAAAGATACATTAACAGTTTTTTATGGATATTTTTTAATACTGTATTCAGGATAGTGAGAAAAATTCTCACAGTCAGCTCTTACAGCAAATGATTCTGATTATTGTACTACTTCAAAAAATCATTGATCAGTTTTTTGAATCCACCACCTGAAACGTAATGTTTGTGCACCTGTAGTAGGAAGCACTCGTGAATCCTTAACCATTCAGTCTGGAATCAATTCTACAAAACAAATGCTTGCAATATCAATTTCTGTTGTCAGAGATCCCAGCAGGTAGCAATAAAGCTAGAACTGAAAGTTATGCATGAATAAGCCTACAACCTTAATTTCATTTTTCAGAATGAACTTATATCTAAATATCTCTTCTACACTTATTTTAACTCTTCAAGACAGGCATAAGGCTAAATTTTATGTAACAATTCCAGATGCGCAGGAATCATCCATAGTATGGTAACAGTAAG